TTTAGAATTTTAACTTGTTAGTTTGTGGCCAAAATAAAAGATTAATGAAGCAGGTTGAGATGGGCCTGGGATGATAATTAGGCCTAATGAAGGATTGATCCTACTGACTCGCCTGTGTGTACCCCACATTTCAAGCATTACCAAATGTATACACATGTTTTTGAATATTTAAAATTTGAAAATTAATTATTAAGTCACTGTGATTGATTCAAATTCCAATCCAGGGCCCTTGGCTGAAAGACATAGAGTTAAATTTTCTACAATTAATATTGCTTTTATCACAAGTAATCAAACATCAATCGTATTGTATTAGCCATAAGTGGGCATGCTGTTCTTCAACAATCAACACAAGTTTGAGTTGGCACATCTCCTTTGACTCCATTACACAATTTGTGCAACAAGTAATGGATGACTTACACTAATTTTGTTTGTCTTTATTATATCCCCAATACATTAAGGTTTTTTTACTACTTACACTCCATTGGGTACACCAATTAAATTCAATCAAACAATTTTTTTATGAAATTCAAAATTTTTTGGTAGCTTTGATAAAGTATATAGTAGTTAGAACTTTACCCAATGACACACATGGTGAATTATATGGGATAAATGAATGAAAACATATTTCCAAAGTTTGTGAAGAGTGGGTTACTTAGGTGAACCTACCCACCACTAGCTTCATTGCATTTCCCCATTAATCAAATTAACAAAATTGAATTGGCTTTGTGAAAGGGTTTTAGGAAAAAAATTCTTAATTAATTTTGACTTAAAACCAATGGAAGCAACATTTGAAACCTGGAACCATCACTAGGTAGCCTATTGATAAAAGAGCAAAATGAGATTTCATGAATTATTGAGTTCAAGTCCTCTAAAAGACTAATAGAGATGATCATTAACTGGTAGTTCTAGGGTTTCGAAAGATTAGTTGAGGTGCTTATAAACTTACCCACATATCTCTGGACCTCTGGTGCTAAAAAAAAAAAACATTTGAAACCTTGTAGACACTGACACTTCAAATTAATTCATACGAAATTAACATTTCTTCCAAACTAATAAAAAAAGAAAATGCATGTGCAATACCCTTTCAAAATTTGAATAAGGTTTAGGGAATGATTAAACATCGTTTTCAAATGGCAACTAAAAATAGTTGTATAAATATAAAAGGTGCTAGCTCTACCTTCCACCTAACGTTTAATAAATGATGTATAAACATTACTTTAATTAATTGAGATTAAGTGGACTAAACTCTATCTCATGCTTCACGTCTAATATTATTGCCACGACTTCAATTATACAAAAAAATAAAATAATAAATAATGCATTAACTAATAGATACAAATCTTACAAAAAAATATTTAAAAAATTATATGGACATGCTCAATAGCAACAATATATTACAATAAATATAGTATCCGGTTTTGAAAAAAGAGTTAACCACTTTTACTCGCCCAAATTAAGGTTTAACTATACTTTTCCACTCACAAACTTTTAAAATACTATTTTACTATCCAAATTTATATTTCGACAACGAACAGAGAGTAAACTCGGTCTAGATTGTTAAGATTTTTGAAGAGGGAAGACCGATGAGTCTTTTGGTGGTTGAAGGTTGGATTTTGATTGTTAGGATTAATTAGAATTTGACTTGAGAAGGACAATTACGTAAACTTTAATTATTTAATTACCGACGATTGACAAGGTCGACAGGAATATATTTTGAAGGGTTTTAGTGAGTGATGATTGAGAAAGAGAATGATAATAGTGTAGGGTCGCAATAATATCGAAATTAAAAATAAAATATAAATTTAAATAATAAAATGATATTTTAAAAATGTTAAGTAAAAAAGTATCGTTAAATTATTATTTAGGAAAGGGAGAACGACGCTAGACATACCCGATTTATAGTAACGACAAGTTGATACCCAAAAGGTTTGAAATAACAAATAGGTATTTCCGTCATGTCTGTTAGTGATTCTGTTTATTACTGGTTTAATAGTGAAAAGACTAAAATGCCCTTAAAAGTTGAATTTTAGTTTTTATAAATTTAAAAATTCAAAAAACCCCCCCTAAGTTTACAAATTCACTAAAATACCCAATATATAAAAGTTTTATAAAATAACAAAAACACCCCCCCGCAAGTGTAGATTCCGGCCACCACCGCCGGAATTGGCCGGAAAGTTGGTTACGACAAGACCTGTCGGATCTGTGTCGTAACGCGTGATCTGCCTTTTCCGGCAGATCGTGGCTGATCTGGCCGGAGAAAGGCCAGATCTACGACTAGATCTGGCCGTCGACGCGCCAAAACTCCATCTGCGACGTGAAGGCAGATCTGGCAGTAGAACTGACCTTTTCCGTCCAGATTAGCCAGGATGGCCGGAAAAGGCAGATCTGGCTGCTGCTCCGACGGCCAGATCTTGCCTTTTCCGCAAGATCCGTGGGGATCTGACCGGAAAAGGCAAGATCGGCACGTTACGACAAGATCTGACGGATCTGTGTCGTATACACGTTTTCTGGCAGATTCCGGCGATGGTGGCCGGAATCTGGCACTAGGGGTGGTGGGGGTGTTTTTGTCATTTAACAAACATTTATATATGGGGGTGTTTAATTAAATTAGCAAACTAGGGGGTGTTTTTTAGAAATTTTTAAATTTATAAAAAAACAAAAATTGAAACTTTGAAGGGCATTTTAGTCTTTTCACTATAATAAACAAAAATCACTAACAGAATATGACGGAAGGTACCTATTTATGTTTCAAACCTTTAAGTACATCACTTGTCATTACACGTAAACTTTGGGTATGTACAGGTCGTTCGCCTTTAGGAAAAAGTAGTTTACTCTTTGAAAAGAACAGCTAGTTGTAACGGTTTCTCAATTATCTAGTGAACTGAAGACACAATAAACTAAAGCCATTGATCTTATCTTTAAATATAAATGGAGCCTTATAAAAGCTCCGTTAGAAGACTTAAGTCACATGCAATGTAGAATTAGAAAACCCAAAATAAAAAAAAGAAAGTCTACTGTTTAAAACGTCTAAAGGATGTAACATAAACTATCTTTACGACCAAGTAATAAAAATATTTGTGCATTTAAAATCTGATCATAATCATAACCATATACATTATAAGTTTTTTATTTAGGACAATAATGATTTGATGTATACGTACACCCACAGTGTTGAAGCCATGCACAATTTATTTGTGTTAAATGGGATATTATATTCGCTTTAACAAACCTATCAACGCTCACACCACAACACGCTCCGTTCAGTTTCATAATAATTAAAAATAGCTTCTTATTTTATAGTGATTTTTTTTTAATTATTACAATATATCCCGATTATATAAAAAAAAAAATGGACATGGTGTTTCAAAACTTAACGCATAATTTGATGATTTCCAAAATTCATTTCATTATACGTAACATAAACTTGATTGAAAAAAACAAGAAAAAGTTTGTGGCGAGGTCACAGTCAATGTGGTGCAGGAAAAGAATCTCCATGGGGGAGAAATGATGAATGGTAGCTGCAGATAGTCACAACCACGCCGCCTAACTGCGTTTATTCTATACTTTCCCTTACATTCTCGAATACAATCACAAATCACAATATCACAACTTTTTCTTACACCAACACGCTTTCTCCTAATTTATTTCTATATCTCAAGCACCTTCTTCACTTTAAACACAAAACACATACGTGAGACAGTAGAGCAACAATGGCTGCCGCCGGAGGAGGCCCAAAACAAAACTGATGAGTTTCAGCCACATCCCGTCAAAGATCAACTTCCTGGCGTCGACCTGCGTTTCCAGCTCTCCTTCTTGGGGTACTCCTCTTTCTCTTTTCTTATGTTGTTTTTACTCTGTTTTGGTTTTGCATTATCTTTTTGTCTATATTCTTCTAGTTTTAATGCTCTTTGTTTCTGATATTTTTTATTGTCACCTTGGTAATTCCAAATGCTAGTATCAGCTGGTCATTGTTTTATTTAACAATAAGGAATTAGCTTTGCATAATTCCAACCGTTAGTTTTTGTATGTGTTTTGCTCTGTTTGTTTGGCTTGGCTTGTTTTGATTCAGATTCTGCTTCTAATTCTTTTAATGCGTTTTGTTTTTTTTTTTTTTTTTATGTGACTATTGATAATTTCAAAAATAATTATGGCTCAGCCGTCTTTCAATGAGCTCGTTTGGTTTGTCAAGAAACGAGGAAAACAATGAAATAGGTTGTTGAGTGAGAAAAGTAAGAAAAGTAATGCCATTTTCAAAAATCTTCTACTTAAAAAATAGTTAGCCTTTCTGTTTCGTTCATCATACTAAAGAAAGACGGAAAAAAACGAAATCAAATAAATGAAAATGAAAAGTGCTCAGCAAGACATGAGAAAAAGAAAATTTCCGGATTTACATTTTGCATTTATACCATACGGTTTTTTTCCGATCACGGATTTAATAAGTAAATAATGATTATGCACCTTTTTACGTTACAGGAGTGTAAAATTGCTAAAATTTGTTTCATGAAATGCAGCTGCGGCGGAATTCTTGGATTTCAGCACTACCTGGTGATGCTCGGAACCACTGTTCTCATCCGACAATACTTGTTCCTTAATGGGTGGGTGGCAATGTATGGATTTATTAAACGAAAAATCATTTATCATTTCCTTAATTCTTCAGATTTATAATATATTCGAACTGAATGTTGGTTTCGCCATGTTCATCAATAGCGAGAGAAGGCTGAAGTGATAAATACTTTGCTCTTGTTGCCGGCTTAAACACGCTCACTCAAACTCTGTTTGGAACTCGGCTCCAGTTGTGATGGGTGGTTCCTATGCTCATTTTCCCAACTGTCTCCATTGCCATCTAACAGATTCAACATGATATTGATCCTCATCAGGTAAATTCTTTGGTGATCTGTGTTATTGACTATGGATTTGCAGTACTTATAGATTTTTATGGTTTTTTGAGTCATTTTGCAGAGGTTTAAACAGTCAATGAGAGCTATCCAAGGGGCACCATTATGGCATCACTTTTTCATATGATAATTGGTTTCTTTGGCTTCTGGAGAATTTTTGGAAGGTATGATGATGCAAAACGCCATATTGAATTAAGGTTTATAGTTTCTCATAGCACAAAATTTTACTTGTGGCCTCGGTTTATTTCTTGTCTCGTAGATTTCTTAACCCTCTTGCCGCAGTTCCTCTGGTAACTCTTACTGGACTTGGGTCTATGCTCTAGGTTTCCCTCAGGTAAAAGTGCTGAACTTTTATTACGTGTAAAGGCTAAAGTTAATGGAGGATCTTAATAATGAACGTAATACAACAGGGAAGTCTGACTCTGGATGCATCTAATTATGCAAAACTCTGTGTTGGGTTGCATTTTCTTTTTTTCAACTTTTATTTTTTGTCAAAGTAACTGGATTGATGCTTGTAGCTGGCAAAATGCATTGAAATGGACTCCAGCATTACTGATATTGGTTCTATTCTAGGTTATTCTTTCAAAACCGTTTTTTCTACGCAGTTACTTTTCTGTTATATTATGATTACCGTATATCCATATCCTAAACTTTTTATTTATCTACTTCCCCTCCAATGTGAAGATAAGACATTCACAGATGTACAGCTTTGTGTTTCAAATTGATCCTTCTACTCTTGCATTCCTGATAAAACTGGATTTTATCATATTTGTGAAATGTTAACATGTTCCTTAATGATAAGAGAACTTGTAACAAATTTTGATTGTTTTCTATTGTTGTAATATGTAATTTTATATATGCTGGGTTTACTATTAACTTTTTGAAATTGAACTTTTCATTTGTTTGTAAGGTTCTCTGATGTTGTGTGTAACTGATTCTTTGCAGTACTTCCATTAAAAATCGGAGGCATCATTGACGATTTGCAGTCCTGTTCACCGTCGCTATTGGTGGGATATGCTGAAGTTTTGACTCTAGTTGGGGCTATGATAAAACTTCCCCAACACTCAATTCAGTTGTCGTACTGATCGTTCTGGATCATTAGTGCCGCTCCATGGTGAGCATACACATAAAACCTAAGTGCAACTCCCATCATTCATCTCTTGCTGAATATCAGCATTTCCATTTCTAGATCCATGCTCTTTAACAGTGTTTGTGAATTCGCTTCTTTGAACACTTGCAAATGTTTACTCTGGAACTTTAGTATTTCTGTGCTAGTAGCATTTTCACAACCTTAAAAAATTTTGTTTCTCATCTGCAGGATAAGGGTTCCATATCCTTTCAGTGGGGTGGTCCCAGTTTTAATGCTGGCGATTTTTGCAATGATGGCTTCTTCTTGGTTGCTTATTATGAGGTTTGATTTATCTAGACAATCATTGATATGCTTTTACTTAGATTACTTTTACTGAATGAGGATCGAAAGCCCTTTATTTTTGCCTAAGCATGGTACTGCAGGTTGTGAATTATGATGAGAATGTTCGCTAATGAACAATTGTAGATATCTCAGAAATAATCTTATACTTGGGTAACATCTGATGGAAATTGATGAAAATCCTTATGATTGATATTTCTAAATTTAAACACTTCTAAATAAACTTCAACTAATGTACTGTTAAGATACATGCATAACCATTCTTCCATCGCGAATTGAATTATCATTCTTCTCTTGGAATGTGTGGAATGAGAGCTGATTACATTCATGATGAGAAATTTTTTTCCTTCTTTTCTTGTGCAGTCTACAGGTACTTTTATTGCAGCATCAGATATGGGAGCGCCACTCCTATGCCACCTTCGTACTAGCCGCGGTATTGGTTGGCAGGTAGCTAGCACTTTTATCATTTCTCACTTTTGTTATGCAATTTTAGTCTGAAGGTTCTGGGATCAAGTATCACGGTTCAAATTTTTGAATCTCAGGGAATAGGAATACTGCTTGAGGTCTTTTTGGCACAGGAAGTGGCACCACTGCTTCAGTGTAAGGCAACTTAAATTTTGAAAGTTCGTTAGAGCTTTCGTTAACCAAACTTTAGATAAGAGTGTGTGTGTCACCAATTGAAGGCTGTCTCAACCCAGCAGCATAAATAATCAACAAGCAACTGGGTAAATAGCCAATATTACTTAAATGTTTAAGCTAGAATTTTCATGTTGTGTTACTAAAAAAGTATATACAAAATGGAGGCAAATATAAAAAAAAAAAAAAAAAAAAAGTGGGGCTCCCGAATTGACATCTGTAACTTGTGCAGTAAGTAAGCTGTATTTGATTGCACAGTTGGGTGGTGGTAAATTTGTCCATCTGATCTCTCAACATGTGTTCTAATGCATTCTGTTTCTTTGTAGTGAAATGCAGGTCTTCTGGGATTGACACGAAATGGAAGCCGAAGAGTTGTTCAAATATCAGCATTATTTATGATTTCTCTCTGTTTAGGTGTGGCATCCTGTATTAGGATTTCTATTGTTATATGTCTTTGATTTCGCCTAATTTAGACTATTCGTTAATCAGCATTTAATTTATTGATCATTTTCACATTTGTAAAAAATGTTTCTGTGATTTTGTTTCACAATATTAATTTGAGGCATCATAATTCTGGTCATAAACAGGAAAATTCGGAGCTGTTCTCGCTTCTATACCATTTCCCATTGTGGCAGCTTTGTACTGTGTCCTCTTGCCTATGTGGGTATGTACTCCTCGTTTATGACTTTATCAAGGTTGTAGTTGAATTGCTCCACACATTCTGTATTTGAAATTAAATTAGTTTTGGACAGATAAGAAGCAAAGTTTATTTATTTGCTTGGTTGTAGTTCAAGATTCCTCAATACATTATGAGCATATTTTATAAGCTACAGTTTAAATTCTATTAAAATTTAGATTAACTTCGTTTGTTTTCACTTGTGGGAAGAGCGCTTCAGCTGGTTTGGGTTTCCTACAGTTTTGCAACCTAAACAGCTTCAGAGGAATCATTCATATGGCTTCTCTTTTCATGGGGCTTTCTGTGCCACAGTACTTCATGAAATATAGTGACTTGGTCGGTGGCCCAGTGCACTCCGGTTCAACAGCGGTATATACAACAAATTGTCTGCTTGTTTCCTTTTCCTAGTCTGACCATTATTTTTACTTTATTCATCAACAACAATGAAGTTATGTTGATTTTGTTTCTGCTTACAGTTCAACACATATTTCAAGTGATTTTCTCATCCCCAGCGACAGTGGCCATTATGGTTGCGTACTTCTGGACTGCACTCACAGTGTTGGGCACAGCGCAACCCGGCGAGACAGGGCAGGCACTGGTGGGTAAAGTTCCGGTATTTCGAACGGGATACAAGGAGTGAAGAGTTCTATTCGCTGCCGTTCAACCTTAATAGGTTCTTCCCTTCATTCTAGGCTTGGCATATCATATGAAGAGGTCCAATTAGTAAATAGTATTATTGAATTCCTTGTGCTCATGCAATTATTTGTTGGAGATGATGCTATTCATCGAATCAGGTATAGAATATAGGAATATTTGAGCTTGGTGCAGCAGCTAGCTAAGCTTGTAAGTAGTACCATTTATAATTATAGTTGGTGTAAAGATGAGAGTGATGAATGTGAATTCAATTGCCAGATTTATTTGATTAAGTATGCCGACGTTGACCTATGCAATGGCATCCAAGATTTTATGGAATGACATTTTGGCTATAACCTATATACAAAAGAAAAATAAACATCTTTAAAATTTGTTGAAACAATTACAACAAGCATTATCTATGCTTCTTTGATTATAAACTTTGAATGCATTCTTTAACTTCAATGTATGTAATAAATGCCTCCTTCTATCAAGTCTATTATTATAAGCTTTAGCTTCCACTCTAAATTTTGTTCTTAAACAAAGAAGAAGGCACATGTATCAATCATTGTTTTAAAACTCGACCCAACAAGGTGATGGGTATAGGTGATTGGTTTCACCTATTAAATCAACGGTGGGTTGGACCAAGGACAGTAGCAACGAAAGTTTTTTTTTTTTTTTTTTTTAAATTAATTTAGTTCCTTAAATTTAGTATATTATAAAAACACCCTGATAAATTTTAAATTAGTCTCTAAATTTTAATTTATTTTAAAATTTCCCACAAATTTATTGGTCCCTAAATTTTGAAATGTTTCCAAAAAAAAAAAAAAAAAAAAAAAAAAAACCTAAAAAATATAATTATCCTAAAAATTTGAATATAGCATAAAACCTCCTAGAACCTAAACCGAACTAGGAGGGCTGCGGTCTCGGTCCGATCGCTGTCTGGTCGAGTTTTAAAATAGAATATCAATACAAGAAATTACTAATTAATCACTATAAAATTTTATTTTATATCCGTCTGGTTGCCAACTTAATATTTCAAGTAGGGCATGAGCCCAAATTCAACTCTTACTTAGCATTTATCTTTCAATCTTTGAAACCATATGGGGCGATTGTTGCAATTAACCCTCGAATATCGTATCAATAAAGAGTAGTGTTATGTTAGTTCGATATTTAGTTTATACATGTAACACCACTCGTTGATCAAGTTAACTTCTTATAACAATTATCATTCATTTTATGTCACCTTAGTTTGTTATAAGTGTGTAAGTTGAAATAGGTCATATGGTCATGAGCAGGCACGTAGCCACATAGAGAGTGTGGGTTCATTGAACCTACTCAACTTTTTAAAAATTTCAAAAAGACTTATGTTTCATGACTTTATAATTTTAATCCTACTTAATTTCATGTTAACCCCCACAAATGAATTAGTAATTAACATTTTTTTTAACACAAATGAATTATGGCAAGTGTTGAAAGAACATTTTTTATGACGAAGATTTGAAAAATTGACTACGGAATCAAATGGGAGATCAATTGTTAAATGACTGTTTTATTACATATATTGAGAGAGAGATATTTGATAGAATTGTCAATAAGCGATTATGCAATATTTTTAGAATATGAAAAATCGTCGAAAACAATTGTAGAATTGATAATTTGGTTATATAATTTTTGAAAGTCAAATTTTTATGCTTATCACTTCATATATATTTTATTGTAATTTATCAATTTGATGTTTTAAACCTATTGACTCAGAAACTTAGCTACGTCTCTGTCATAAAAGATCTTCCAAAGCAAGAATATTGGAAAATAACACACTCAAAAAAAAATAAAGAAGTTTTGCAATTTTCCATTCACAGAATTGGTTTTATTCAAAGTCATATCTATGTACAATCAAAAAAAAAACGAGAAACAAAGTATACGTAAACAAATATATATCGATTTTGCTTAATTTCTTAGATAATTTTTAAAAAGATTTATTTTAATTGGGAAATTGACAAAGGAAAAGGGTTTAGAAAATTGATGTGAGATGTTGTACAATCTATCAATTTTGTAAAATTTTAGGCTCCTTTTACCATTGTGATTGTATGGGCAAAAAATCGTTTTGGACCTGACGAGACCCAACACAAAAAAACATGTCACGACCAAAGACCTTAGCTCAATTCCGGTTCGGTCTATGCTAAAAATCACCTTGAGAACTGTCTACTCTATGAGTTGGACTATCGTACGAGTCAAGCTAAACTGGGTTCTAGCCAGAGTACAAACAGTTCATAAATAGGAAAACAGAATCTCATTCTATTTCCTCTTCTACTAAGATCCTGAATCTTACTGAAATAATAAACAATTTGATAAGGACAAGAAATCATCTTTCTTTCATGATAGGGATTATCTTCCAAATTAGGACTCTTATATTCTAAGGCAAGTAAGTCAAAGATTTTCCTATTCACTAAACTTCTATCATTATGGATTTAGAGTCCTACTAGGATTCAAAGATCTATGACTATTATATAAACAGAGGTTTGCCCTCTCATGGGATCCATGATCCAATATTCAGTCTCTACCACTCAAAATCACCTACTTACTCCCAAGTTCTTGCTTCTGAGAATTCTACACCTTCGCGTGGTCCTGGCCTCCGACAAAGCTCCGGTAATCCTTCTTTTCTTTAATTCTTATTAAATCACCTCTTTCAGCCTTGTTGACTTGAGCATCAGAGTGCCTACGACAAACACCACCCCGATGTTTTCCGTAAGCTTCACGCTTGTCTCTTCGTGTGTGCAGGTTTGGCAGATTGTTAGTGGCCTCAACCTCACGGATCATACCTTACTTCTGTAACCATAGATTTTTTGCATCTACAGTTTGGCGCCCTGTAACGACTCCATTCTTATAAAAACATGATAGAAAAGTACATGTAACATAAATAAAAAGTTGGGCCCAAAATTTTTCTTTATTAAACATATGCATTCTTTACACAATATATACAGATTTGTGACATATGCAAAATTATCAAATAGGGTGGACAGTGTAGCCATTTCTCTTCGTGTGCCGATGTCCATCCAATGTGTCCTATCTAGAACCTGCAAAAATAGGGAACAACGGTGAGCACAAACAAGGCTCAGTAAGAAACCCCTGAACTCAAATTCTCTGTAACTCTTTCTTTAATATAACTATCTAATTCTCTTTCTCATAACTCCTCTATACTAACTTTCTTTCTGTAAGTCATGGCCCCATCTGACCGAGGCAGGCTGGGACTCGCTCCCACTCCTGTGACTTCTACTCATCTAGCCGATGGACTGGTATGCATGGATTCGGAACCTTTGGCATGTGAGTGCAAGAATCTCTCGGTAAACTCGGGTATAGCCCTCATCCGCATGTACACTAGGGCTACACCACTTCTCTTTGATACTCTGTAGCTCTCTGCCGCTTCTTGATGCGGCGTACATGCGGGAATACTCTACCCGTACTCACAGGTTCCCCATCGCACAACCTACTCTATTCTCTTATAAGCACTACTCTAGCTTTACTCTATAGTGCTCATTCTCTCTTTCTTTCTACTCTTGGAGTAGTCTAAACTCAAAAGTCTCTACTCTTTTTCTACTCTCTTTCTAATGCATAAGTAAAGCATATTAATGCACATCAATGACTCATACTCATTAATGCATTTATGAAAAGAACTATGACATGTAGCAACCATTAAGGCTTTCTATCCTTACTTATGATTCTCTTGAGCATTTCATCATACAAATCATGTGCATAAATAACTCTACTCTAACTCTAGCTTTCTCCTTTTCTTTAATCAACCAAATGGGAGAAAACTCCCTCATAAACCCTAAATTCCCTGTCAAAAGAAACACTTCCATAATATGCTCAAACCTCCTCCAAACTCCAATCAAACTCAACCCAAAATCAAGCAAATACAAACTCTCATAACTCATAACTCAATCATAATACTATCTCATTCAACAATTAAAAGAAGCACATATGTATATCAATCTACTCAAAAGAGTTCTTAAATCTCAACTTAGGTTGAGTTTACTTACCTTATAAGAAATTAGCTTCTTTAACACTTCTCCTTTCCTTTGGTAGCTTGCTTTCCTCTACAACTTAACCATAATCACAACATGAGACTCTAATCAAAACTAATAAAACCTCATCTAAAGCACAACTCTTACCTTAGGAAGCTTTAGATAAAACCCTACTAAAAGTTACTCAAAAAGGCTTGGAATCCTTGGAAGATTGAAGGAAATTTGAGAGGTTTAGAAGATGAAGGAGGCGGTGGAATGGGAAATGAAGAGCTTTCAAGACTAAACCCTTTTAATATCTCTTAATAACTCTTTCTTCCCATTTTGCCCTTGCTCTTTCATGGAAATTCCACCTATCCTTTGATTCCTTACTAACACAACCCCCATACTAACATATTCTCCTTGAAATTTCTTACAATTTACTCCCACTTTCCTACTATTAGGGTAGAATGGTCACAATGCCCTTAGGGAAGAGATATCTAAAATTAACAAACATTTTGGTCGGACTGTCGCCGTGGGAGGAAACTTCTGTCGCCGCGGCAAAATGTCAGAGCTTCCCGTGGCTTCAACACCTCTTCGCCGCGGCGAAGACTGAAACACTAAACTTCTTCTATTTTCCACCAATTTCAGGGAAGTACTCGACATAACAATCAATCAAGGTCAACCAAACAATTTACCAAGAAACCAACTCAAATAAGAGCAAAAGAAGAACTCAAATAGAGCAAAAGAAGAAACAATAACTACATACCTCAAGTGGGGCGTTACACGCCCACCTTGGGGCCTAAGAATCATGTCAATGATGACTTGCAACATGAGAAGAGACATGGAAATCCCTCCGACTGACATCGTTAATCAGAAAGTTTCATCATCGACAAGAAAAAATTTTCTTTAATGTTCTTCATTGTTTTATCTTTCACATGTCATATCATATCTATTCAACATATCATAATTTATTTTATGCTATATATCTATTCAGCATGTAATA